GTGAGTATTTTTGTGGTTTGTTGATGGGAATCATTTTGATGTTACACCTCTTTTACGCAATATACATATTTTAATGACTTACATTTATGTAAAATTCCCGCTCAAAGGTATACAAAGAACCATATCATTTTAGTCAGTTAAGATCCTTCACTCTACAGAAATATATATTTATTTCATATATTTTTTATTTATTTACTATTTTTTTATATCAATCGTGAATAGAAAAAACATGAACAGTCATCAGCTTGATTGGAGTATATGGGTTTACTCGTACCTCAAAAATCTTTAATCTATGGGATATAAATATAATGTTTTCTACCTTTAAAATACATCTACATACATCTTCCATAAAATATTAAATTATCCCATTGAACGACTTTTGGAAGTCACTCAAAGCCTTCAGTGTATATAAGTCTTGTGCAAGGGTTTCAATTCATTAAATTTCTGTGGAATTCTTCTCTCAAAGAGGACAAAAAATCACGAAAATAAGACAAAGGTTATTATTTCGAAAGATGGTCTATATATTAGAAGAAGATCAAAACAAAACGTGTATAAAGTTGCATGAGGAGTCTTCTATCTTCAGAAGACTTAAAATCGATAAATTCGTCTATATTAATACCATTTTTTATTAGAAATTCTGCAGGAAGTCTTGCAGTTAGACTTGTAATGGTTTCTAATCAGAGCTGTAGCTCCCTTTTAAATGTCTCATCCGAATTTGATACTGAAGCCCCCCAAAGGCGCAATATGCACTCTAAACCAATGATATTTAGTACGTTATATCAGACGCAGCCTGGAAAACCTTTGCGAAACTTCGCCGATATCGATTCAGATTTGTGTATAGCACCCATATATACAATTGCCGGGTGAAAAAACTGCAACCAACTTCAGGCTGCTGTCATTTCTAAGCCACTCGTCCGACTGCTGTTAAAATTATTCCAGTGGCAGCTCATTATATTGTTTACAAGCGTACAAAAGCATTTTGGTGAGAACTTTCCAGAAAAAAAGTTATTAGTTATGGAATTCAAGCGTGATAGTGTGATTTATTTATATTTGGCTGGAAAACCACAAGTGCTCTAACGATAGCACTCCAACATTTAAATGTGGATAAACCTTTTTTCTCTCGTACCATCGCTCGTTACCGTGATAATAGTAGCGTAGCCCGACGTCAAGGAAGTGGACGGAAATAGTTCGAAAAGTAAAGAAGAGACTTCATCGAAACCCACATCGCAGTGGCCGAAAAATGGCTTGTGGACTGAAAATATCGCAATATCCCATTCGGCAAATATTGAAAAATGAGCTCGGGGTAAAGACATTGAAATGCCAAAATGTGCAAGAACTTACACCGCAACAGGAAGAAAATAGATTCAAAAGAGTTAAAGACTTGCTTTGCCGAAAGTGGTGAACTGCTAAATTTTATTTTTCTTCGATGAGAAAACATTCGTTGTCCATCAGTTTGTAAACAAACAAAATTATCGTGTTTACTTGCCAAGAGGTCAGCTGAATATTTGCACCTTCGGTTGGCCACGAGAACTCAAGCGCCGGTCATGGTGATGGTCGCTCGTATTAATCGACCGTGTCATCAGAATAATTGCCGAATATTCGCCAAAATGTTCTGGAGTGTGTATTAAAGCCTTGGGCACGCAAACATTTTATCCGCAGACCTTGGACATTCCAAGAACGGTTACAAAATGAGGTTCCTCGCTTCATTTCTAACGCACAATGGCCACCAAAATCTCAGGATACCAATCCGTTGGACTATTGTGTCTGAAGTATATTAGAAAGCAAGGTTGGCACTAAATAATACAGAAGTGTCGTTTACCTCAACGATCTCGATAAAATTTTGACAGAGATATTTTCAAGCACTATGTAATGCCCGATACCAAATATTATTCTTCTGCAGTGCATATTACGCATGTGAGAGACTTAAAACCCCAAATCGGATGAAACATATAACTGAACCTATTTTTTCCAATTTTGATTAATTTGCTGCTAGACCGAATTCGATGGGATGTACCGAAATACAGGTCATTTGGACTTATATTTGGTGTCTGCCTCGCTTCCTTTTCCATGTTACAAAAAAAAGCACAAAGATAGATAATACCCTTACCACTATGTTGTGTAGGGTATACAAAGCAACTTTAATGACTAGTTGATCGATCCGTAAGAGGTATAACTTTGAATTTTTTAGTATGGGCTGAGATTTTTAGTTGTAAGAATATACAAGCAAGTGGGTGTACAACATGGACATTGTTTTGGAAATATCTCTGAACAGTTAAATTGAAACCTGTACACTATGTTTTGAAAATGTTGCATTCAGTATAAATTTCATTATAAAGCGCTTATATTTATACCCTATACCACAAGGTGGTCAGGGTATTATGTCTTTGTGCAATTCTTTGTAACAGGCAAAAGGAAACGAGATAGACCCATAATTCCTTTTGCTTATATGCATAGAATCACATTCTGAGTCGATTTATGCATGTCCGTCCGTCCGTCCGTCCATGTATTTTTGTAAACAACGTACAGTTCGCGTTTATTGGCCGATCCAGATGAAATTTTGCACAAATCATTTTTTGGAGATAATCGGTCTAAATTTAGATATAGCTCCCATATAAATCTTCGTTCGATTTGCCTTTTATTGTGCATCAAACGTGTAATATCAGTCCGAATAGTCTGGAATTTTGCACATACAACAAATTAGGACTGAAAATAAGTATGCCAAATTTGATCGAAATCGGTGCAGATATAGCTATAGCTTCCATTTATATTGTTCATCCGATTTGTTATTTTTGTCCTCCGCAGCCGTAATATGCACTCTGTAACAACAATATTTGGGAAAATATATCAAATGCAGCTCGGAAATACATTTGCTAAATTTTATCGAGATCGCTTCAGATTTGGATATAGCTCCCATATATATAACTTCGTCCGATTTAACTTTTATTATGCACCAAACGTCTAAAATTTGCCCAAATGGGATGAAATTTGAAACATACGACGGAATTGAGTCTAGAAGCTAGTATGTCAAATTTGGTGAAGATCGGTTCAGATATAGCTATAGCTCCCATATATATTGATCATCCGATTTGTTGTATTTGTCACCCATAGCCGTAATATGCACTCCGTAACAACGATATTCAGGGAAATATATCAAATATAACTCAGAAATATCTTTGCCAAATTTTATTGAAATTGGTTCCGATTTGGATATAGCTCCCATATATATCTTTATCCGATTTCAAATAAATTGTGCACCACATGGGCAATAAAAGTCCGAATTTAAAAGATACAAATGCTTCGGCATATTTAGTCCTATGAACTTTAAATTATAAATATAATCATAGCGTGTATGATGGAATTCTCCCATAAAAACTTTTAATTGTTATGCGGAGCTCTACTAAATTGGCAAAGTGGTGTAGGGTATCATAAAGTCGGCCCCGCCCGACTTTAGCTCTTTCTTTACTGGTTTTAATCATATTTTCAATTTTATGTTATCTACAAAATTTTGAAGTTTCACAACACACGTAAATTATTTTGCTTCGCCTTTAATCATTTCACATAAATAATGTCAAGCAATTAAACCCCTATATATATTATATATTTCTCGTTGTATATATATACATAATCAATTCATGTTAAGTAGTTAGATGATTTCATTATTATTATATAAATAATACAATTCTAATTCTATATAAATAATGTATTTAATATTCTTTCACTTTAATCTATTGTATTTCTATTCCTATCTTATAAACGTAACTAATTTTCAACTTTAAACCACCATCTCTTTAAAAAATCTACTGCAACTGTAATTCTTAACAAAAAAAAAAACACCACCTCTTCTTAACCTCAATTCAATAATGAATAATTATGTAACAACAACAATTTATTTGTAATGTTAACCTCCTTTCAACAACAAACAACCAACCAACCAACTTTAAACACCAACTTTATTTGCTACTTTCACCACCACTACTACTACTACTACTACAAATGCCAAATACCAAAAACAAAATCCTCCCCCAAACCAACAATTTATGCTTATAATTTTAACCTTAAAATTGCAACTCTAAAATCTATCCAGGAAGTCATTTGTTGCGTGGTAAGTTTGATTTGAAAGTTTTCTCTTAAATTTCTGTTAAACCTTTGTTGAATTTTCAAATTACTTGAGTTGAGAAATTTCTTGTCTGATTTTCAATTTGTTTTTGGCTTTTTTCAATTTTATTTTGTTAAAGTATTACAATTCTGTGTGTTTTGCATTGAATTTGCTCTTTAGTTTCATAGAGTATTCATTTCAATTGGGTTTATTCGATTTGAATTTGATAGTGTGATTAAACAGTGTTGGTTGTAAATGATATACGGGAGTGGACAGAAGGCCGACGACGGTGCTTACTGGCTTCGAGTCATATTGGATAAAGACAATGGATACGTCTTAGTCTTTCTTCGATTTAAACAAACTTAAAATGTGTTAAATAGATAAAGGATAACAAATCATCTACAATTTAACTGTCAAGTATTTTCTAGCTCTTTTTTTGGCCTTGGGATGCCTGAGGAATATTCCAGACCAATGAAGTAAAAATCTTTGCAGTCTATTAAAGACGGCTTCCTACCTTCTAAATAAAAATAAAATCAATTTTATAATTGTCTAAAATATTGATCGCTTTTCAGAGTGCGTTACGGCCACAATGCGAAATAATTTTTCTTTAATTTTTTTCAAGTTTGGCGATTGGCTGAAGGGTTCAGATTTCCTAAATTATTATGCTCCTCACCATATGATGGAAAAATTATTAATTTGACATTAAAAATGCCGAAAAGCACGTAAAAAAGCTGTAAGTTCGGCCGGGCCGAACTTTGTATACCCTCTACCATTTGGAATGAATTTGGCAATTTTCAAAAAAATAAAATCCGTTAAAAGTTCTGTTAGAATATTAAAAATACCAAATGTAGCCATCATACTAGGGTATAAACGACGCCGTGGATCTACATAGGCAACTTTTGTC